TCAAAAGTTGATATTCAATATTCGAAAGTTAATATTCAATATTCGAAAGTTAATATTCAATTTTCGAAATATGAATCGGCCGAGAGCGGTCATCGGCCGAGAGCGGCCAACACAGGAAGCCCACCACCTAGACAGATATCCTGCGGTTACCAAGCCTCCTCTCCTCCCCATTCTCTCTCGGGCCCCAGCAGGAACGCCTGTTACCGTGACAAGATGTCGTCCATTACGGATGAAGGTAAAAGAAACTCTGATCCGTAGACATTTTTATGTAGCTTTAAAAGTATTCAAATATATCAAACTTACTTATACAGAAACAATCATGTATATTGACCGACTGATCGAACTTAATAAGAAGCCAGGCGTTATTTTAAAGTATCTTGAAAGGGATTTAGACGTGAAAATAAGGTAAACTTTTATGACCTTTTATGAAACAATAGCTTTTACCCATGATGTGAAGTTTAAGATATCTTCTTTTTTTTAATTTTAAGCGAAAGAACTCTAAGGCGATTTTGTCAAAGAAATGACATCAAAAGATACGACTTTCTGTCTCCAAGAGACGTTATGGATGCTATAAAGGTGATAATGTCTATATATCCTTGTGCATACTTTTAAACCAGTCAATGCACAGTTGACATAATTCTTCTTCATAATAATTATTATGTAAAGGTAAACTTTACGGTATTAAAAAAAATTCATAAAATCTGAAATGTATTAAATGTTGTTTACTRCATTTGAAGGTATATCATTGTTTACAGGAAGAGACAAGTGGCTGTGGCAAAATGTTAGGCTATCGAAGAATGTGGGAGAGGCTACGCCGAAAAGGAATRCGTGCAAAAAGGTATATAACTATGTATATTAAGTTACTCCRTTGTTATTATGTCACAAAACTTGAGAGTTGAGGACAAATAAGCCATGCGCTGTGATAGAGTGGTGGCAAATTTGAATAGATCATCTTTTAAAATTGTGTGAAATTGTGCAAGTAATTAACATTTTAGTTCACCCACTTCTCCCTTTATTTCCTTGTCAATGACACAACTCATTGTCTGACTGACCCATGGTAACCCTATTTGGTTATTTATATTTTGATCTTTCCTGAGAATCAACTCTAGAAAAGTTCAAAGATGACAGAACAAAAAATGGGAGGTACTGAGATGTTGAAGGAACAAGGATGCTCACCCATCCCTTTAAGGAGTTGAAATGAAGGTTTCGTTCCCACTGGGGTGTTAATGAACAACAATATTCCCATCAGCTGAGTCTTGTGGTCCCTTTTAACAATGAACATATGTCGTCATAAACTGAGATGAGCAAGGGGCAAGGGGAGGTTCGTTGGACAGGGAAGATTATTTTAAGGTCAAATAAACTGTACTGGTTTGGGAGCTGAACTGAAAATTATTCAATTGTAACTAATAATTTGTGGTATTTAATTATTAGAGATCAAGTGATGATGTGTATGAAACTTCTGGGCATTCAAAAAAGTGCTCCATGTAAAAAGAGAAAAAAGACRCACCACTATTACACGAGCAAGGTCTGTAATATTTCTGCTCATAATTAATGAAAAAACCTTTGTTTAACTGATGTATCCTTCTCAGGGTCCTAATTATATATGGCACGTGGATGGTTTTGACAAACTCAATCGTTGGGGCTTTTTCGTTCATGCTGCTATTGATGGCTACAGCCGTAAAATCTTATGGCTCAATGTATTTGTCACAAATAAGGATCCTTGGCTTGTTGGAAAGTATTTTATGGAATTCGTTCTCCGAGGCAATGGTAATGTATTGTACATGAATGTTATAGTACTTGTAGTTATTGGCTWAGCCTGACATCTTAATTTTTTCTTATCAGTTTGTCCCTGTAGAACAAGAACTGATCCTGGTACAGAAAACCCAATATTAGGTACATGTCAGATGTTTCTACGTAGGAATGGAGAAGATAATTTTGGAGGGCCAAACAGCCACTATGTAGGCCCATCTGAGATCAATCAGGTACTTAAATTTATATTTCATATATATGATAATTATAAAACATTAGAGTGCTTACTGTATGTCCATGARATAAAATCTTAAATAGTTACACTATGTAACATGTATATTTAGGCACTATCATTCAACCAGAACACTTTAAGGAAAATCAAATTTAATGGAAACATTTACCTCAGTTGTTATAACTTTTCTAGTCTAAAGTAGACACTAAATAAGAACCATTAAGAAGTAACTATTTCTAAATGTCAAATGCATCATGGACAATGTGTAAGCATTCTGCATGATATCATTATTATGATCATGGATAAATTATTTACAAAACATTTGTTGATATCAATTAGCCAATTGAAGCATTTTGGAGAACATTTAGAGAAGGTGGATCTCAATATTGGATTGATCACTTTAAGGTTTGTACCATACACCAACAAACAAATTTTTTATGTTCTCAAAATCAAAAGGATTATTTATTTTAAAGGCATTAGAAGCAGATGGTCATTGGATTGTTGGAAATGCAATTCACCAGTAAGTAACCAAACATCATAAATATTCATTAATTTGAAACCAGTTACATACATTGTATTAATGACAAGTTGTTATATTATATTTTCTTTAGACTGTGCTTGTTGTATGTGTATATGCCTCTTCTTCAAACAGAATTTGAAGATATAAAGTCTGATTGGAATCTACACAAGATTCGTATGCAAAAACGTACTGATAGACCTAATGGTGTGCCAAATGAACTTTTTGATTTCCCAGAAGAAAAAGGTATAAAATATCAATTCCAAGACACACATAGCAATCATGAATGACTTATGTTGGTAATGTCATCTGACATCCGCATGTAAGAACCTACAATTCTGAGAATTAGCCTGAACAGGTTCTTGTTGTATGGTATTTAACACAATGTTAGGCTAACTAGGCTCGTACTCATAAGTTATGCATAGGTTGTRTATGTTTAATTTCCTAATTATTTAGATCATAAATGACATTAATTTTTTTTTTCATCATTTTGTTTATCACTAGGTGGTTGCCAAATGGGAAAACCGGTCTCAATAGAAGACTGCAATTATATAATGGACAAATACAACTTTGATGAAGAACTTTTCTACTTACCTTCTAGCTTTCAGGCTGAGGCAGATTGTGTATGTGATGGGCTTGAAATTACCATTGATTCAGCTAAAGACACTTTTATTACTCTTTGTCAACATTTTCAACAATAATATGATACATGTATGATGTTATCACTTTGACGCTTAAACAACAACAGTAAAAGGTAAAGTAATCATGTACTGGAATGCACTTCAAACTTTACTAATATTTACATATTTATATTGAAAAAGTGATTTTACAGTACATGATGCCATTACAAATTAAGGTAGCTAGCTTATGATATTATTTGACATTTTGCAAATATAAAGAAAAAGATACGTTAAAGATACACCTGTGAGGTGGTTTAAGCTGGGGGTACCTAGCTTCTTGCGACTGATATCACTTGACTCTGCATACTTAGCAAGTTAACTAGAAAAGTATGACTATAAAAGTTATAACATGTTCGATTGCTCTTTTTAAAAAAAGTTCGTATACAAATTACAACTTTAGACTTCATCACAAAAAATGGGTCACCTTATTAGAGATCCAACCATGCTCTAAATGAAGGTGGTTACTTTATTAGCCAGGAACCTCTTAAAAACTGCCAGTCAAAAATCATAAATTATCCACTCCAAAAAAATGAATTCAYTCCTATCCAAAAAAATCAAATTTTTACATTTTCCATTTTTTCAGCATTTAAAAATAAGGGTATAATTTTAGCATGATACAAGGAGTTCATTGACCATCAGTTGCGAAGGACCCCTCTGACACAAACAATTTTTAAAATATTAGCATTAAAAGAAAGTATGGTGTAAATATGGCTTAAACGTTAACACAATTGTACTAGCTGTTGCATGCTAGCTGCATTTTGTGAATTGCCTAAAAATCTTAACATCTCTACTCTAGATGCAGTCATATCATTGTAATCACAGTGTTGCCTACATGTAGATTTCTAGTTTTACCATATGGTAACATCACCAAGCATTTTCTCTAAATCTGGTAGAATTTCATTGAATGCTGGCCTTAATTGAGCTGGTTGAAAGCACTTTCTTATGATATCAGTTGCATTAGCAGTTATATCATCAGGAATTACAGGGTACTCTCCGCAAAGAATCTTGGCTTGTACTTCCTTRTGCCCCAATTCTCCCCAGGCAGGACTTCGTTTGAAGACTTCCATTGTTATGACCCCAAATGAGTACATATCATGGCTTGGAAGTGGATGGTCTCCGTCCAGTTGTTCTTTATGCTGGTACAACAGTGTACCAGCATTYGCACCTTTGGCAGCTGTCACTGCAGTACCATCTTTTAGTTTGGCTACACCAAGGTCACAAATGATAGACTTATATGTTAGGTCTTCTATCTGAATTGAAGACAAGAAAAACAACATACTTTTAAGTTTAAAAATATGTCATACTCCTTGAAAAATGATTGTTGTTGTTGTTGTCATTTATTATTGTTTATATTGAGTCAATTGAAATACCATTATGTTGGCAGGTTTTAGGTCTTGATGCACTATACCCCTTTCATGGATATAGGCCATCCCTTGAGCTGCTGTAAATAACACGTAGCCATTATAACTGGGATCAAGAATCTGTTGAGATGTAAATTGGGTTAATTTATCATGATTATTTTCAATAGTTATTATTTTGTACCTCATCATTATTTAAATTTACAAATTCATAAACTGATTRTAAACTAAGAATATAATAAGTATTATTATTTATATTCTTTTTAATATTTCTGTAAACTTAAAATAAGATCAAACAAAAATCAAACAAAATTCACATTTTGCATACCTTAGGATCTTTGGTTTTACGGAGACCTAGCGCCTTTGACAAATCTTGCCCTTTAATATAGTTTGTTACCAGTAGAACATCACTTTCTGTTACAACATACCCAAAGAATAATACAACATTGGGATGGCGGAGTCGTCTGTTGGAAGAAAACAATTTTAGTAATTTATACTGTTAATTCTCTTTGAAACGCTCTTCTAGTAAGCGACCATSTCCTGTAAGCGATCACTTTTTCCTGATCCTGAGGTGGTCGTTTACGAGAGAGTTGACTGTATTTTAATTTTATTTCTTATGACATTTTCTACATGCAAGTATGGGATAAAAAAAAAATGGGAGAGGCATCTGATTAATATAAAAATTAAAGACAAAGTTATAAAAACAGCTTATTTGCCTATTACTTTAAAGCCTTTCTTATTTTTATTTTACTTTTTATATTTGTTTACCTGCATAAATCAGCCTCCTTAATGTCAGGGTCCCCATACCCTTTTGGTATTTCTTTGACAGCAACTTGCATATTTTTCCAGTAGGCTTTGTAAACCCTGCCAAAATTCCCTTTCCCTATGACTTCGTGCAACTTGATGTCTTCTTCCAAAATATCAACACTTGCGATGTCTAAATTTCAGCAAAATAACATTTAATAATTGTTCTTTGACAGCAACACAAATATACCATATCATTCACACCAAGACTTCAATATCATATGTGAATCAACATAACATACCTGTGTTAGAATTTGTACCTTCCTTCCTTCCTTTATCAAATGATATTTCATTATCTATAACTAAAGGAASAAACATATGCCAATTATCATTCACACCATGACGTCAATATATGTGAATTAACATAACATATTACCTGTGTTAGGATTTGTACCTTCCTTCCTTGCTTTATTAAATGATATTTCATCATCTATAACTACTATCTCCTTTTTGGGCTGTAATGGGGCAGATGTACTTGGTGGMAAATATAATGGCACATTCTTACATGCAGCAGCATTCCAAAGTGGTGTTTTCATGCGAACAACATGCTGAAGAGCATCCTTAACTTGCTGCTGTTGATCTTCTGAGTCACTATCAGATGATTCCAATTCCTAGAAATAATATACTTGAGTTTAAGTTATTGTGTTTATTCAATAAAAAGACTATTTTTTAATCAAATTGACATTTAAAACAATTAAAAGCTATCAAATACTGGTTACTTTTTTTTGACAAAGAAAGCCAATGCATTGGCATTTTATAAGTTGTGCATCATCTTTAATTAATGCAATGGTCTKTTTTTTGGTGTTGTCTGTCAGAGATATCTTGTATTCCAAWGGCAGTGTATTGTCATTTGAATCATTAAATTCGTTCCAGCATGCTAGCTTCAGCACATCCAGATTTGCAACACATGAAACCTTCAAGGCAATGAGTTTATGAAAATATTAGTTGATATATATGTACATAGTGTAATGTCTAATGCCTTTTTAATGTAATTACCATTCTTGGGATTTCTCCCTTCTGAATAGTAAGCTGCTTCTGCCTGCCAAAGCACATTTTGCTCACATGGAATTCCTGCAACCCACATGCAAAAAAGTGTATATTTAAGCATTATGGCACATTTTTTTCTGTTTAGTCAGATCCAGTTAGTTTGCTGGCAATCAACTCATTGAAATACCTTTTTTTTCCCAGCTCTAGGGGTTAGCCCCCTTCTCCAATTTTCAACAGCTCTCCATGCTTTAAAAAATTACATAAAATAGATTAATTGAATAATTGATCTTATATTGTTACTTACTTATTCCTTAATACAATTTGATTAAGATTTTTGTCTTGTAATACTTACAAGCATCAAGGCCCCCTAT